GTTAAGAATGACACCATACCTAATTTATTTCTCCACTCATAGAAGGTGCTTGATATTAGCTTTAAGACCCACAAAGTTCCTAGAAGCAGCTTTTTGCTATCAGTAACTCTCTTAAAAACTTCCCATCTAGAATAAGGACTCCAAACCACTGTGATATTTCTGGAGGTCAGGGACTGTGCCAATTCCAGCACTCTAAATACAAGAGTGGCTTAACAGAATTAGGCAAACAAATATCTTCATATAAGAATTCTGAGTCTGCCACTTACTATGTGACCTTGGAAAAGTTACTCAGTGTTTCTTACTCCATAAAATGGAAAATAAATCTACCTCATGGGGTGGAAAGGACTCCAACTAAAGAATATAAAGACACTCCACAGCATTTGCTACACAGAAGGGCTCAAAAGAGAATTACTAATGGCTAACAATTATATAGCACTTACTATGGGCCAGGAACTGTCATAACATAATCTAATCTGACTCCACAAAGGAGGTATTATTGGCCCCATTTTATAGATGAGAAACACTGATGCTCCAAATGGTTAAGTAACTTGCCTAAGGTCACACAGTAAGTGGTGGAGACACAATGTGAACCCAGAGAAGTCTTGTCTCTAAACTCCATGCTCTTAACCATGTGTTATACTAATTCTCACTACCCTATACTGCCTCTAGCATACAGATGCTTAGCATAATAACTGAAGTTCTTTCAAATGACTGGTCATTCAACTTCTCCTGCCTCTATGCCATTCACGTGCACAACACTCCGATCAGTACCATCAGCAATTTTCATCTGGAAAAGGTTTTACAAGAATCTCCAGAGGAACTACAGGGTGGCACAACACATAGGATTTCAGAAAACACACTCCTATGAAAGGTGTGCTCCCCCTCACTTAGATTAAGAACCTCTGATTTACATAGTTTCAGATTATCACTCAATCTCAATTATCTTTAGCCATGAGGAAAAACAGCATACGTTCATATATACGTACTCATACCAATATAAAGATTTATGAAACAATTTCCAAAACAAAACTGAGTTTTAGAAAAACTAGTTTCTAGTTTAGAAAAACATTTAGTCTAAACAGAAAACTAAATGAATCTTCTGCATCCTCACTGAGAGCTTCCAAAGAAAAATTCAAGTTCTAAAAAAACTGGACATTAAGAAAATGTGACAAAAAGGGCTCAGATCCTAAAGCCTAGTGAGCAGTGAGGTAAAAAGATTAACAAATACATTCTAATACTCACCTTCCTCCCATTTTGCCTCCATAGCCTCCTCGGTCTCCTCCATAGCCGCCCCCACTTCTGTCTCCTCCGTAGCCGCCACCTCGGTCTCCACCGTAGCCCCCGCCACCACCGCGGTCTCCTCCATAGCCCCCCCCACTGCGGTCTCCTCCATAACCGCCTCGGTCTCCACCATAGCCTCCTCCTCGGTCACCTCCGTAGCCGCCTCCTCGGTCTCCTCCATAGCCGCCTCCTCGGTCTCCTCCGTAGCCACCTCCTCGGTCTCCCCCGTAGCCGCCTCCTCGGTCCCCACCATAACCGCCTCCTCGGTCCCCACCATAGCCACCCCCACTTCTGTCTCCACCATAGCCACCCCCACTTCTGTCTCCTCCATAGCCGCCGCCACCACTTCTGTCTCCTCCGTAGCCACCGCTGCTCCTGTCTGCGCCATAGCCTCCTCGGTCTCCACCTCTGCCCCCACGACCTCTATAGCCCCTCTCTCCACCGTAGCCTCTTCCCCGGAAATCTGCAAGGCAGAGATGCAAACCAGTGAGGCCAGAATGATAATGTAAAGCATCCCTAATGCCAGTCAGAAGATAAATGCCATGTAGATGCTGTTAACAGCGGACCCACCTCCTCCTGAGGGACGAGAGTCCTCTGGTCTGGGCTCATTACACTGGTTGCAAGAATTCCTTCGAGCAAAGTTCATATTTCCACATGACCTGAGAAAGGGGGAAAATTAAAAAAAAAAAAAAACATTCAATAGTTTCTAATTCAATCAGAAACCCCTCTTGTATCTTCCAACCCCAACTCCTACTACCGCCAGAATAAACTGGATACTTACGGATTAGGGCAAACCCAGTCTCCACTTTTGGGGTCTCCACCTCTCCCCTGAAAGCCTCCACGACCTCTATATCCTCCACGGCCTAAGGGAAAGAAGGGTGGGAGAGAAAAATCAGCAGCCAACATTAAACCCAGCAGAGGAAAAGCACCATATGAAAGAACTAAGAGCAAGTAACCATCAATAATTTGGTGGCCGCTCCAAAATTAACCCCTTATGGTAAAACTCTGAATCTTTCATTTGAGGCTTTACTTATTATTAGTAAATCCAAGAAAAGTGGGAAAAGACCTCAGGCACATATTACAGTGCAAAAATGCACTAAACTTCAAACTTTCTAGAATACTCTCCTTGGTTTGAGAATGTCAGTGATAAAAGTACAGAAGACATATTCCAAATCTAAGGAATTAAACGCAATAGAAATGAACAAGGTGGTAGAAATTCTATCAGGGAACTTAGAAGCTGGTCTGATTACCTAATTAGGTATCACTTAAACAATTGCCTCCTGATCTCCAGGTGAATAACAAACTGCCACAAAGCTTTCCAAAAGTACTTCTAAAATTTTCTTCCAACTACTTACTTAGCTATTATGACACCTATTTACCAAATCTCCTTTCAGTACCCACTCTCACTTTAAGACAGAAGGAAAAAAAACCTGTGGAGTAGTTCACACAACAGAGAAAGAACATGGACTCAAATTTAAACCCTCTGTACAATATCCAGGCCTGAAACCCTTTGTACAATATCCAGGCCTATGAGAAACAAGTGACTTACCTCGTCGCCCACCTCCACTTCCACCTCCTCTCATGAATTCAGGTCTTCTGGTAGCAAAGGACACTTTAATGATATTGCCATGGAATTCTTTTCCTAAGAAAAAAAGAGTTTTGAAGAAATGCTACTCCACATCTCCAACTCTCAATAAAATATAAAACTATCTTAGAAATTTTTAGTTTCAGAGCAGTAACACGTCCTCACAAAAATTCAAACACACCGGTGTTCCCTAAGGGTCAAAATAACAGTGCTAAAACATAATCTATTGAGTAAAGCAAATCTGTCACTTGGACGCAGTTACTTCTTACTAAGGAGAAAAAAAAAAAACAAAAACCACACCTAACATTTTTATATGAAAAGAGCCAAGTGCAGAACCATGTGTATAGTATGCTACCACTTCTGTTTTATAAAGGGGAATGAGTGTGTTGGTGAGCTCAAGTGCCCTTACATGCACACATATGCTATATGTACATTGCCTATTATGCTGAACTCTCAGTAGGGAAAAACAGATCATTGGAGGTCAAAGGTAGAAAGCAAGCCCATTTTTTACTACACACTTCTGGTATAGTTTGAAACTTTAAACCATATACAAGTAGCATCTTTAAAAATAATATAGGCCCAAAAAATGAAAGCATATGTGATTGCTTACACACACACACACACACACACACACACATATATATATATATATTCTGCCCCAGGGCCTTAGATATAGTAATTAATCTTTTTACTTTATATTAAACCAGAGGATTCATAAAATGATTGCAATTCCAGAAGCCTTAGAATCCTGATCAAAGCCCTTATCATTATGGCTGGCAACTTTCCACAATATCAGACAGTATGACCTAGGAAGCCACTCAAGATCAGTATTTTCAAAGCTATAGAATAACCTGAACTATGGAGTTAAGAGGCTCCCATGCCCTGTGGGCAAAAAGCACAATTTTAAACATAATGAGCACAAGAGATTGTGTTTTAATTCACCAAAACTACAGAAAACAAATGAGGAAAATGGACCACGTCTTAAAGAGTAAGGTGATAAGGCCTGACAAATTAATGCAAAAAAGTAAAGAATATGAAGATGTCGACAGGAAGAGTATCACAATCTCATTTTTTAAGAAATAAAGAAATGCAATTATGTTTTGAAAGACATAGGTACAATCATCTCAGAACCAGAAGGGACCTCAGGTATCTGTCAATTTCATCTAGTATGGTTAAGTCCTTTAGAGACTGTGGATCCAGACTGCCTGAGTTTAAATCCTGACTCTGCCAGTTATGCTATGACCCTGGAAAAAAAATTTTTTTAAAGATGTATTTATTTATTTATGATAGAGAGAGAGAGAGAGAGAGAGAGAGAGAGAGAGAGAGAGAGGCAGAGACACAGGAGGAGGGAGAAGCAGGCTCCATGCCAGGAGCCTGACGTGGGACTCGATCCCGGGACTCCAGGATGGCGCCCTGGGCCAAAGGCAGGCGCTAAACCACTGAGCCACCCAGGGATCCCCGACCCTGGAAATTATACAGCTTCTCTGTGTCCCAGTTTCAAAATCTAAAAATAGTAATAATAGAGTGCATGTCTCATACAGTTATTTTGAGGACCAAACTGAATTAATGCATATAAAGTTTCTAGGACCATGTCTACACTACAAATCAGTAAACACGCAGTTGATATTGGTTCTAATTAGAGTATAAAACAATGAATTTCTAATAACATGGGGAAATGACTGTTAAAATGTTAAGTGAAAAAAAGATGAGACAAAACTACATTTGGAGTATAATGATAAACTATTTTTCTTAAATACTTTTAAAAGAATGGAAGAAAAAAAAATTTTTTTAAAGATTTTATTTATTAAAAAAAAAAAAAAAAGATTTTATTTATTCATGAAAGACACAGAGAGAGATGGAAACATAGGCAGAGGGTGAAGCAGGTTCCCTGCAGGGAGCCTGATGCAGGACTCAATCCTAGGACCCCCGGGATCACAACCTGAGCCAAAGGCAAACACTCAACCACTGAGCAACCCAAGAGACCCGTAATAAAAAATATTATCAAAAAAAAAAAAATATATATATATATATATATATAAAATCAATGATTATCTCTAAGTAGAGGATTACAGATGCTTTACTGCTTTCTTCTACTTTCCCATATTTTCCTGTTTTGGGGGAGAAAAGTCTTAACATTTCTTCCAAATACGTATTAACTTTATATTTGAAGAGATATTAATCTAAATTTACAAAGAAGAGAGTTAAGCAGGTCAACCCTCTAAATTTCCATCAGGGTGGCTTCAAGCACAAGGTAGAGTAATAAGGAAATACTGGAGACAAACAATGAGAGAGCTCTTCTCCCTCATTTCTAAAGATATGTAAAAACTCTGGTCTTCATTTTTTTTTTCTGGTCTTTATTTTCAATAAAAAATATCCACAAAAGTAAACATGAAAACAACCAGTTACTAGAATATATTTTGACTTCAAGACTAGAAAGTAGGGTGTTTCTCCCAAAGCTGTGGCCCAGGACATGGCGGCTCCTGGCCCTGTGACTCCGGGGGCACCCTTTGAACCATCACAGCCCCCAGTAATTGAGGGCTTTAGCCCCAGTATCTACAGCACTCCAGAAAGCTTCAAGGAAAAATTCCTTCGGAAGACCCGCGAGGACCCAATGGTACCCATAGGCTGCCTGGGCAAGGCGGCCGCCCTAACCTACGGCCTCTACTGCTTCTACCGGGGTCAGAGCCACTGCTCGCAGCTTATGATGCGCACCCGGATCACTGCCCAGGGCTTCACGGTCGCAGCCATCTTGCTGGGTCAGGCTGCATCTGCGATGAAGTCTCGATCCTGAAATCCTGGCCTTGAAAGTCACGCAGAGATCACCCCCAGCCCCAAGAACAGCCACCAGTCCTGCCACCTGACTTATTCCCTGGTCTCCCCTGACAAGCCCCTGTTTCAGCGGGGGAGGAAGTGGCCAATTCTGTAACTGACAGGTTTTTCCAGGAATCTCAGATTCGGTTGAGTTTGGGTGTCGCATACTGTATTTGTGCCCCCACTTTCTCCATTTACTACTTAATAAACTGATCCACTTGTAAAAAAAAAAAAAAAAGACTAGAAAACATTTAACCAAACTGCATATTGAAACTATATGAATAAAATATACCATCAAACCAGTCAATGGCTGCCTTAGCTGAAGGAGGATCATCAAATGACACTGTTGCCTCTCCTTTTGGCTTCCCTGTGTCCTTGTCTGTATACAGATTTATCATTGGTTTTCCTGTCTTCTTATTTGTCTGAAGAAACAAAAAGTTGGTATCAGCATTTTAAGAAAAAGTAATCATAAACCACAATTAAAGATTTTTTTAAAGGAATTCACATATCCATACTACAAATACTATGTACCTAATATAAAAATGAAGTTTTCTATAGGTTCTGAAAAGGAAAACTTAAGTAAAACCCAAGCTATGAAAATGATACAATGTTTTAATCTATGTATAATTTCTTTAAACTCACAAAAAAAATGTAGATAATGCTTCATGTAAAAATGTACCTTGTAAAACATAAAAAAGTCAGGAAGAATGTACACCAGGCAAATTAATAGATTACCACTAAGGTATACAAACTGCAGCTGGCTGGGATGGGAGTGGAAGACAAAGAAGAATGTTTACTCTTCAGAATTGCATAAATTTTTTACATGTCATGTGGTAATACATTTCTAAAGAAATTTTAACTCCCCAAAAATAGGGGAAAAAAATGAGTAATTCCACAGACACCAAAACAAGGACAACTACAAACTGATTTCAGGCAATGCTACAATCTACCCAACACTACTTTAACTGCTGCTTTCTAGTTGAAGAGAGGAGAAATACATACATGAAACAAACAGTGCACAAGACATATAAGCAAACAATAAATACAGTTATAAAATAAAGCATTATGTACTCAGCTAATACATATAGTGCAGTCTGCCTATATAATGGCCTTTCAGAATCTTTTTTTTTTTTTTAAGAATTTATTTATTTATTCATGAGAGACACAGAGAGAGAGAGGCAGAGACATATAGGCAGAGGGAGAAGCAGGTTCCACACAGGGAGCCCGATGTGGGACTTGATCCCAGAACTCCAAGATCACATCCTGGGCTGAAGGCAGGCGCTAAACTGCTGAGCCACCCAGACGTCCCTGGCTTTTCAGATTCTATAAAATATTCTCACAATCTCATTTGGTTCTCACCATTTTAGGAGCTAGGCAGAGACTATTTTTAGAGCCCAAGGCTGAAAGCTAAAGCTGTAGAAGACTATGGAAAGATAAATTAAAAAGGAATACAATTTTCATGTATGTAGCAAATTTAGCAAAAGGCCTATAGACATGATCTGGCATTTGTATTAGGGAATTTTAAGACAGAAGCTTATATAATCTATGTATCTTAACTAGAATATGCTAATAATTATGAGATTTTCAAGATAAGCCATACTTCCTACTCACCTTGATAATTCCTATTTGTTTAAAGAACTCCCCCACTTGATCTGTAGACACACCCTCCCCAAGTCCTTGCACAAAGATTGTGTTGTTATCTGAATTATCAGATTCTGAATCTAAGGGAAAAAAAATTGTGGTTAATTTTACATATTCCTTGGTTTTACTACATCCTGTTCAGTAATCAAGAGCAATAATTTATTGTCCAATATTTCTATTACCAAAAGGAAAAAAGGACCAATATACAAAAAATCTTCTATCAACATGCAAAGTGGTCATCATAGTTATTTGGTAGCAGATCAATCCTTACAACTAAACTTCAGTTAATGTGGATCAAGTCCACAGTATGTGAAATACAGACCAATTAAGGGAGATCTTAGAAATCTTACTCCTTAGATTGATACAGGGCTGAAGCTCATGAAGAGATGAAGACAGTATAAGTTAGCATTCCTTTCTTTGGAGAGCTTTAGCGCTTTATGGCTAAATCAATACTTTTAAGGCTCTCCAGTAGAAAATTCCGCAAATCTAACTTTGGACTTCCAAGCAAGCCAAGCACAACTGCTGGTTTCCCATTCATTGCATAAGCTTTGTATATACCAGAGGGTAGGGGCACCTTGTCACACACCTTACCTTACACGCACACTTTTGGATTAGTACAACAAAGTAAGAAAGATGTACAAAAATTCAGTCCATCAAGGGATAATTCAGAAATTGCCATCCATATAGAATACTTTGGCATCTTAATAAAAACAAAAGTTCTGATTTCAATATATTAAAATTTTTTGGCTCAAATAGAATTTTAATATCTAAATCATAACTTCCAAAAGGCTCCAGGTAGCCTTAAATTTCATTTAAAAATAAAAGCCATATGAAATTTGTGACTCTGCCCAGAGTAAGACAATTCTCCCCACGTATGAATTGTTTAAGCCCTCTAAGCAGACTACCAATTGATGTAATGTTTTCATACTCATAGTTTTTCTACTTCAAATTCCCAATGATTATCAACTCTCTCAAATCTGATCTGTAATATTTAAATAAGCAATGTTAATTAGCAATACAAGATCAAGTATTTCTTCACAAAAGAAAAAGCAGAACATGGGAAACCACAAACATAGCAATCTTCCCAGCAAACTTTCCAATCAATTTCCCTGAATTTTTCTTTCTGGTATATTTCCAGAAGTGTAGCTCCCCAATTCCGGAAGCACTATCAAATTAAATCTTCCTCCTGCCCTAACTCTTCCATAATCTTCCTCCTGTCCTAACTCCTCCAAACACACACACTTTTCCCTTGAAAAATTGGAAAACTTAAAAAATAAAATAAAAGAAAAGAAAAAGAAAAAATAAAATAAAAAAAAGAAAAAATAAAAAATAAATAAAAGAAAAAAAAATAAGAAAAATTGGAAAACTAATGTTCTCTTAATGGCAAGTCACAAACTACCATAAACCTTACCAGCATCTGGTCTGGGTCCATAATCCCTGTGACCTAAGGGAAAGGAAAAGAAAAAGAAAAAAAAAAGCTATTTAAGGCAACTCATTAGAAATCATGAAAAACTAGTAATAAAAACCAAGGCATGAAAAGTCAATAGTTCCAAAATCCTTGAAAGTCAACCATCACAGATTTACAAAGTAAATATATAAATTAAGTTTTATTAAGTTTAAGAAATCAAGATGAAAGTCAATTATTTCCTTAAACTTGTCCCAGACGGTACCGCCACTTTGGCATTATACTAGTATCACTTTGGTTAAGCTCTGGTTGTGAAGGCTGATTGGAAAACCCTAATAATTTAACAACACCATGTCAGCTACCTTTATTTAAAAATGTTATTGTCAAAATCCAGTGGAAGTCTCATTCATCGGTCACCACAGACTCTCATGCAAATTCACTGTGCAGAAACCCATTGGACTGTTTGAGATCAACTTTGGCTTTTTAATGTTTTCTTTGATATATATATACGTATATATATATAAATTTTTTTTAAGCACACAACACACACCAGCCTCAACAGAGTAAGAAAGGGCTTAGACTGCGTCTGCGGGATATTGGTGGCTTTTAGGTTTATATAGCATTTCCACTGAAACATTTTGGGATACTCAGCACTTACCACCAAAATTTTTGAAGCCACCGCGGTCACCACCACTGCAGAGGAAAAATTGAAGAAATGATTTCTTCCTTAAGTCTCTAATGTGCTGAGCCCTGGGCTCAATCTACACTTAACTGTCACAAGTAGAGCGCCTAGGGAAACAGTAGCACCTCTAACTTTCCAGTAAATTCCATTTCATAGACTCCAAAATGTTGTTTTCACCTAAAGTGTTTTCCCAAGAATCTATTTCCAAGGGTGCCTTTTCAAGCTTACTACAGAATATATCTCATATACTCTCATTTTAATCTTCCCAACCCCAAGCCAAAGGGATACTATTCATATAACTTAAAAGCTGGAGGCACAGAATGAAGAATGGTAAACTGAAGCAAACATTCTTTCCAACAGGGATATTTTTTTTAAATACGAGGAAAAAAGAAAAAGACTAGAAGAACAATACAAAGCTAGGTTAAGATTCTGATAGCAGAAAGGGAGGCAAAAACTTTAGTAGTATGTTCTACTGTGATACCAAACTGTGAGTTTTAGGAGATGAAGAAAAAAGTGAGGTACAAATATACACGAAAGTGAGCCTGAATGAAAGTAGTCTTAAAAAACTCAAATCATTCCGAAATCTGATAAAATGAGCACGAAAAGAAAGCATAACTTAAAACTGCCCTTCTACTCTATACCCACTATAACATACTAGATCTCCTCATATAAGAGCTACTGAGATTCATGCTGCTAAATGCTCTGTACACCAATCAGTAGACCGTATCAGAGACAGAATGCAACATACTCCAATATCGCAGCTGCCCACAAGAAAATGACTCTACTTGGCAAATTTCCACTGCCAGGTAAGTCAGTGGTCCTTGTGAGCATAAATCTAGGTAAGACTAAAAAAAATAAATCTATGTAAGAAATCTAAGATCTCTCTTATCACGAAACTGTTTAAATACTACATTAAAAGCTGGTTTCTCTTTCCTGAACTAAGTAATCCTCTAAGACTCACCTGCTGTCATCGAAATAAAAACACCTAGTTTTCAGATGGTGACATCTAATATTCTACTATTAACCATCTTCTACCATAATCCAAGAAACTAATCCAATACACTAATGTCTCTTCAATGCTAAAAGCCTCTCCTATAATGATAATGATAACCCTCTCTAGCCTCTAAGATAGATGGCTTTTCTGAACAATCCTGAGAAAAACCATTCTAACTAAATGAGAAAGCAAAGCAGTCTTCTTTTATAAGTCTATTCTACTACCTTGATATAAAATCTCCCTTTGCAACCAGCTTAGGTATAGACACGTGCATCTTGTTATTAATTTTAACTTCCGGAAGACTATAAAGGAGAATAAGGCTACGTCAAGACTATGCAGACAATATAAAGCTCAGGTCCTTTATATACATATAGCTTCCTATTGAGTCTCTACGATGCCTCTTTCAGAACAGTACTCAAGCTCTTCCTACACTTCTAAATGACCTGTCTGTAACTACTTAACTCTTTTAAGAAAGGAAAACAAAAGAGTTGAGATTGATCTGCTAAAAATCTCATTATTAGAAACCACTATATCTCAGATTTCTTCAAAGATGATC